GAGGGAGCACTGGATTTAGAGCAGGGGGCCTGGGTTCCAATCCTGCTTCAGTTATTCTATATTTGTGTGATCTTGAGCCAGTCTCTTCCCTTCTTCTAGCCTCAGTTTCCCCATATAATTAGCTCTCCATTGTAGAGCCCTGTGACCCTTCCCACATCCTCTCTCCTCTCACAGACCAGTTCAAGGAGATGATCCTCACCCTGTGTGACTTCATCCACCGAGGGCAGCTCACGGCTCCAGCCTGCTCTCAGGTCCCACTGCAGGATTACCGGGTAGCCCTGGAAGCCTCCATGAAGCCCTTCATTTCCTCAAAGCAGATTCTCACCATGTAACAAGCCAGATGAATGAGTAACCGGCATCATGAACCAGTGGAAGAGGGGTGCGGCAGGCCCCTCATCTCCTGTATCAGCTCTTGGCCAGGTGTTGTCTCTGCCACAGCCTCTCTCTGCAGCATCGCTGCTCCCCAAGGTGGGCCTGATTCTGAGATCAGGAAACAGAGGCCATTCAGCCACAGCCTGGGCACCAGTCCTGGGCTTCACTAATAAAGTGTGATTGCCAGTTTCTTAAACAGAAAGCAGTCTTTCCCCACTGGGTATCAGGATGCTGGCCATTTGGAGGCATCCACATGGTCTCACTTTGCTTTTCTCCACTTACTGCCCAGCGTGGAGAATCTTAAAAGTACCAGAAGTTTGGCGTGCAGAGGAGGACAATTCGTGATCCAGCTCTGAGCTTTGTAGTTTGGGAGCAAGGTAGGCTTATGACCTAGGGGGACATAGATGCTATGCTGAGGGCTAGGACATAATCGTGGAAGCCAGAGGTGGTCAGTCCTCAGTATATGTCCTCTAGAGCCTAGATGCTGCTCCACCCTCTGGAAGAGGATAGGTAGAATTAGGAATTAGAGTTCCCTGTCTCAGTCTTGACAGGGAGAACAGAGTGTCTCTGGGTCTACCCCACCTCCTCCCATCTTCCTTGGCTTTATAACATCATGACCTATGTGGCCTCACTCCTCAGACTCAGGGCTGCCTGGTTAGAATCCCTTCAACGCATCTGACCGGGTAGCAGAGCTGATGGGCTCTCTGTAAACCCCTTCCCAGACATGTTTCAGAGGGTGTAGCTCTCACCTCCAGCACTTATTCCCCCGAAGCCTAGCCTCTAGCCCCCCAAGTGTTAGGGGGAAGGAATGTGATTGCAGGCCAAGTGGAAGGGGAGTCAGTCAGAAGTGGGAGGCCACTCCCTCTACTCTCCCTCAGCTGTGCCTAACCTGTCCAGGGCCTAAGTTCAGCCAGAAGTACCTTCACTTGGAGGAGGGGTGGTATGTGAAATCAACCCTGAAGGGTTCAGGCTGTTATCAAGACTGACCAGAAGAGAATCCGCCCCTGCTATAGCACAGGTGGGGCAGCTTCCCACCTTTCTCTGTGTGATGAGCTCCAGGGGCATCTCTGCCAGGGTGCGGTCAAAGCACGGGGGTGTATGGAGTGTCCACAAAGGCTTAGCTATTAAGGCTAAAAACTGCACTAAGACTTTGGGGAACACCTTCCCTAGAGCTCTGGAGGCCCCGTCTTGCCTGAAAAGTGACCGTTTTAGAACTGACAGGGAAGGTCCCTCTCCTCCCCCACAGTGCTTGCATCTGCCCAACCACAAACACTGAAGGAATGTCTGCTGTGTGCAGAACCCTGTGGCAAGTGCCCAGAGGGAGTTCACTGAGAAATGAGTTAGAGCTGCCCTCAAGGAGCGTAGGGAGGCAAAGTACCCACAGAAACAGCAAGGCTACAAAGTGGATGACATCATCAGAGGTAAAAAAAAAAGTGCTGTGAGTTTTTAGGAAGGAGGTAAGAGAAAGGTTCTTGGCAGGGGAGGAGGGTGGGTAAGGGGTTTGAACAAGAATGCTGGGCCAGGGGCAGTTAGGTGGCACAGTGGATAGAGCACTGGCCCTGGAGTCAGGAGGACCTGAGTTCAGATCCAGCCTCAGACACATAACAATAGCTCTGTGACTTTGGGCAAGTCACTTAACCCCAACTGCCTTACCAGAGGGGGGTAAAAAAAAAAAGAATGCTGAGCCAAATCGTATAAAAGAGGGATTTAACAGGAATGGATGTGAAGTCTAATGCTTGTGTTCCAAAACCCATATTCATGTGTACAAGATGGGAGAGGTCAGTAATTTGTCTGAAAAAGATCTGGGGGTTCTTGGTGGGCTCTGGCCTTGGTACATGGCCAGAAAAGCTGGCCATGTTAAGAGGCATAGTATCCAGGACTAGGGAGATGTTAGACTTGCTGTCCTCTGCCCTGGGGAGAACATAGGGAGAGTATGGGCCAAAGGGTGGCCAGGATGATGAAACAACTCAGAATCATGGCGTCTGAAGACAAATTGGAGCAGGGTGTTTGCTAGAGAAGGGAAGATTCTTGCTTTAGGCTTGATGTCAGAGGAAGCATCCTAGTGGCTAGACCTATGAAGCAGTGCAAAGGGCTGCTTTGTGGGGAAGGGCCTCTTCTTCCTTGTGAAGGTCTTCACACAATGCCTGCATGATTACTCGGTTGTGTTGATGAAGGTTCTGTTCCCGGGATTCCTGTTTGGGTATAGATTGGACTCTAAGGATGGTGTCCAAAGTCTCTGCTGACTCTTGAAATTCTGCATTCATGGGCTTTTAGTTGGAGTGTCAGGAGACATGTGGCTCAAAAAGTATGTTGGGGCCAGACCATAAAGGGCATTCAGTGCTATGCTAGGAATTTGTATCTTTGCCTCCAAGGAACTGAATTGACAAATAACCTGATCAGAGTTTTGCTTTAGGAAAATTAATCTAGCTGTAGATATTGGATAGATAGGAAGAGAGAGAGAGATTGGAGGTGAGGAGAACAGTTAGAAGTCTATTGCAGCCTCCAGGCAAGAAGTAATAGAGACCTTGACTAGAGTAGGGGCAACCGGAATGAGATGGAAGGGAGGCCACTGTAGAAGTGACAGGTTTTGTAGAGCACTGAATACCGTCAGGTGGCCTGGGAGGGGAATTAAGTTAATAACTAGAAAGTCAAATCAAAGGAGCAGATTTGGGGAGAAAGATGATGAATTTGGTGTTTGAAGTGTCAATGAGACATCCAGCTGGAGCTGCCCGTTAGAGTCTTGGAAATGTAAGGCAGGACCACGGGAGAGTGATCAGAGCCGGAATGCTAATTTGAGTCAGCCTCGGGAGCAAATAAGAGAGCCACGGAGGAGTAAAAAGGAAAGAAGGTCAAAGGAACTTTCATAACATCCAAGCATTTCTCCAACCACAGGTCAGCATTCCAGTGCTCCATGAAATTTGAATGAGATTTCTGCGAGAATTCTAGTCATATTTCCCCCCTCTAAAACTTTAAAACCTGGAATGATATATGTATCCAAATGCCCATTCCATATGGCAATGTGCAGAACAAAATCAGCTGAATTTCCTCTCATTTCTCTTCATATTTTCCCTGAGTAGGCTTTAATCCTTTTCCTTTTGTGACGTCAACACCTTTGACAGTCTGGTAAAGCCTATGGATCCCTTCATTAATCATAGAATTACAAAGGAAACCAATTATACCAAAGTACAATTATCAAAATACTAAAAAAAAAAAATCACAGAGCCCAGGTTAAGCAAGCCTGTCCTAAAGCCATTCCCCATCTTCCAGACAAGCATTTATTTAAAGACAGCAACATGTTTCAAGCCTTGAGTTGTTTAATGGCCAAATTAAATTAGTTCAGGAAACAGCCTATGTCTAGGGAACCAAAATGAGAGATCAGAGAGGTGAAAGACATTTGAGAAAGAGGAGAAAGTGACATCACAAGCCAAGGGGAGGGAGAGAGGACGGGATGTTTGATGGAACAGAAATGCTGCTGGAAAGGGGTGAAGACTGAGAAAAGGCCATTGGCTTTGGCAGTCAGTTAGGCCTTGGAGAGAATCACTTGAGGAACCCAGTGAAGACGGAAACCAGCTTGCATGAGGTTGAGGAGTGTGTGGGTGATCAGGACATACAGGCAGCAAGTGAAAAGGTTTTTTAAAGTTGTTGACAGTTCTTGAAGGGGAGGAGAGATTTAAGATGGCAGTTTGAGAGGGTAGTAGGGTCAAACAGAAGTGGGTATGGTTTTGTTTTCAAATGGGAAACACTTGAACATGTGTGTGTGTAGCCCACAGGAGACCGATTGAAGGGGATGATAGATGGAGCTGTCATTCATTTCAGTCATTCAGCCCCCATTTATTAAGCAAAGTCTCTCCCAAGTAATTTTGGACAGAGGAAAGAGAACTGACGGCTACCAGGAAAGGCTTTGTATTAGGTAGCTGAGCCTTAAAGGATGCTAGGAAGCCTAAGAGGCAGAGGTGAGAATGGAGTGGGGTCCAGCTATGATGTTTAGCCGGGGCAAAAGTGGAGAGGTGGGAGGTGAAATGTATGTGGGAAGAGGATGGGGGCCAGTTTGACTGGAGCCTAAAGTGCATAAGGAGGAAGATTACGAAATCTGTAAAAACAGACTGCAGCCAGACTGTGAAGGGCTTTTCATGCCAGGCTAAGGCACTAGGGATCCCTTGAAGCTTCTTGAGTGGAGGTGCAAAGTGCTTTGGCACTTCAGGAATGGAAATTTAGAATGCAAACCATGTGTTGCCCAGAACTGAGAATAAACAAAGCTTGAATAGAAGAAAGTGGGGGACGGGAAGAAAGAGGAAGGAAAGAGATGATTTGAGGTAGTGAGCGAGCTGAAGTGTCTGATCCTGGATCCCAGGCTGGGTAGGAAGGCAAATGGAAATGAAATGGATTTGAGAGCCTGGTCAGCTAGGAAGCAGTCAAAGGTCAGGAGGTTAAAATGGGGCGAGACAAGATTAGTAAGCAGTGGGAGAGGTGGGAGGACCGTCTATTGGGTTCTAAGTTATTGTCATAAAAATAGCAAGCATTTATAGAATGCTTTAAGGTTGACAAAGCCCTGTCCTCATTTGATCCTCAAGACAGCCCTGTAGGGTCAGTGCTATTATCTCCATTTTACAGATGAGGAAACTGAGGCTAAGAGGTTAAGTGACTTGCCCTGAGTCACACAGCTAAATAAGTTTCTGTGGCACCATTTGACTCCAAATCCAGCATGATGTACACTGTACCATCTAGGTGAGTTGAAAATCGTAAGTCTAAAGGTGGATGAGACCTTAGCGGTCCCCTAACTTAGGTCGGGCCCTCTAATTATACAAATAAGGAAACTGAAGTCCACCAAGGTTAAGCCAAAAATCATACCGGGAAGTGAGTCCCTCTTTCCTGAGATCCCTCCCAAGCTCCTGGAGACGCCTAGTTTCAAAGCCTTCCCTGAAGGATTAACATCCTTTAAGAGCTGCTGAACAAGTATTCCCCTTCCTGTCAGACCTGTACTTCTGAGTCATTCTTCAAGGAGGATACTTACTATACGGGAACTGTGAGGGTATCCTTTTTTCCCCCTCCATGAAATATCTGTACCAGGAAATGCCCTTCTTTCTCTAGGTCTGATTTCCTGAACGCTTGAACTTGGACCAAGTGCATGTGTGACACTGTTTTTGCCATGAGCTTCTGCAGGAGCAGTGTGCTCCAATGGGTACTTTCCCTCAAGCGAGAAAATCCACCCTCAGGAATACAAGTTTCCAATCCATGCTCAGAAGCAGATCTTGAATATCCCCCAAAGGATGGGGAATCACAAAGTATGGCCATACCAGGTGGGTGGGTATAATAGGGTGCACATGGAGGCCACCGGAATTGAAGAAGCCCAGAAATAGTGAGAACAAGGTGTTTGAAAAGGTCGTTAACAGTGCGTTGAGGTTCTTGAGGGTGCTGGCAAAAGTTGGGAAGGCCAAGAAAGTCCAAGCCAGTGCCAGTCCCAGTGACTAGGCCCTGACAGCAATGAATATGGGAGAAAAATGCATCTAAGTAAGTGGCTTGTTTCCTGAAATAATTAAACTTGCTCTTGGCCCCCAAAGGGTTGCTCCCACTACACTAATTGGGTGGAAGGAACAAGGAGTTCGATTTTGATCCCATATTTGGGGGAAGCACCAGAAACAAAGAGGCAGTATATCTTGGTAGGTAGAACTCTGGACTTGGAATCAGGAAGCCCTGGGCTTCTGTCCTGGTACTGACACCAGCCGTGTGATCACGGGTGACAAGTCACTTAATCTCTCTGCCTCAGTTTCCTTCTTTGTAAAATGAGGTATTTCATAATACTTCACAGAGTTGTGGTGAAAATCAGATGAGATAATGTCTCTAAAGTAGTACATAAATGCCAGTTGTTATAAACCATTAGAGAAGAATGGGCCACCTTGTGAGATACTGAGTTTGCCATTCCTGGAGATGTTCATACAGAAGCAAGATTGTCAAGAATGTTGTAGATGGGGGTCCTGCTTGGCAGTGGATTGGGCAAGATGATTAAAGAAGAGGTTGGGATTAACAGCAACGAATAATGCTCTGTCCCCTCTAACCTCTCCCCTCCTCCAGACCTCAGGGTTAACTGGCAGAGGGGGAAAGGCATGGATCATCCCCAGGCCATCAGGATTGCTGCTAACCAAGGGTGAGCTGGGCCTAGGAGAGAAATTTGCAGGAGTTAGTATCTGAGGCTGCCCCCTGCCTCTTCTTTTCTGAATCTCTTCCTTCCTCCGGGCAAGCTTGTGAGATCCAAAGGAATGAAGGCAGTGTGGAACCATGAAAAGAATGCTCAATCCAGAGTCAGAAGATCTGGGTTCAAATCCCCACCTATTACCTGTGACCTTAAGAGGCCCCTTAACCTCTCTGGGCCTCAGTTTCCTCATCTGTAAACTAAGGAAATTGGACTGTATAGCTTCTCAGGACGCTTCCAGCACCAGGTTTATGATCCTATGAAACTGTGGCTATGGGGTTCCAGGCATCATGGCAAATGGGGGAGAGGGGCAAGGTAGCCGCAGCCTGGGAAGGCCTGCCCCTTCAGATTTGCCCACAGCAAAGCTAAGGGAGGTGGGAGGTGGCAAAGAAGCAGACAGGGGAACCCTCTTCAGCAGGGGGCTGGCTGGGGCGGCTCCATCAGTGTTGCCACTTCACTGACTGTCCTGGCCATGTGCAAACCTGGCTGTTCCAAGGAACCAGCTTTCCCCATGTGCCCAGCAACCATTTACCCCACTGAGATTTACAATACCTTAAGTAAATAAAGCACTATTCCATTTGCAAAGCTTTCTTAATTGAGCTCTTGTTTTTATATCACCTGTCATTCATCACATTAATTATGCACATAAGTTTTCTGTTTCTCATTTGATACAATTTTCGACTTCATGGTGTAGGACTTTTTTTAGCCTCAGGACCCGGTCCTTTTATACACTTAAAAATTGTTCATAATGAAGGGCTTTTGTTTTTGTTGGTTATATCTGTTGATATTTACAATATTAGAAATTATAACTGATAGTTTTAAAATATAAATGTATTTTAAAATACTAAATCCATCACATTAACATATGTAATATACTTTTATGCAAAAAAAATTAAATGACAAGAGTGACATTGTTTTACATATTTTACAAAATCTTTGAAGAGGTCTGGATTCTCATCTGCTTCTGCATTCAATGTTTTTGGGGTTAAAGTCTGTTAAGAAAATGGTCTCACACAGATAGGTATTTAGAAAAGAAAAGAGGGGCAGCTAGGTGGTACAGTGGATAGAGCTTCGGCCTTGAAGTCAGGAGGACCTGAGTTCAAATCCGACCTCAGATACCAGCTGTGTGACCCTGGGCAAGTCACATAACTCATGACTGCCCCAGCAAAAAGTAAAAACAAAAAGAAAAGGGAGGAGTATTTTAATGGATAAATAATATCTTACTCTTCTTATGAAAATAATTTTGACCTCAGGGACACTAGAGATCTGTGGTCCACAATTTAGAACTGATGTGCTGAAGTTTTCAATTAATATTGAATTGTTTATTTTGTTCTTTGCTTTATGTTAACCCCTTGTGTTACTTTAACCTTTGCTTTCAATCAGTGGTCACGGTAAGCTCTCATTTCTGATATGCCTTTGTTTTCCAGACTCCCTTCCATAGGTTTTAGATTTTTTTTTTTTTTGGTGAGGCAATTGGGTTTAAGTGACTTGCCCAGAGTCACACAGCTAGTAACTTATGTGTTTGAATTCAGGTCCTCCTGATTCCAGGGCCGGGGCTCTATCCACTGCACCACCTACCTGCCCCTCCATAAGTTTTCATTGGGCAATATGGCATTCAAGTTTTGTATTACACGTGCCATCTAGACAAAGTATTGACATACCTCTTTGGTGCTTTTCTGAAGATCCTTAATGACTCTACAGTTGCTTCCACCATGGTGGTTGGAGATGGCTGCCATTAGGGGTATTCCTTTATGTCTCATACCTTTCTTCCTATGGCTCTTGTCATGGCAATGACTGCTACATGTACCACTGGGCATAAATCCTTAAATGTTTTTACATTTTCCATCAAATATGAGGATGGTTTCTTGATGGTGGTTTATTATAGATAGCAACTTCTTTTAAATCGATGTTTTGATCTATAATTGGTCTGCTATTTAGATTCATGCTGTCAGACTCCAAAAAGGCTTTTTGCAATTCCAGCATAAGTTTGCCCGTCCCCTTTTCTAAATCATTTGAGATGTTGCTTCTGTTTTTGTCTCTGTTTCATTATTAGGTGCATTATTAGGTGTAATTTCTGTAGTCACCATTAGGTAAAGATTTTCATTGACCTGAGGGTGTTCAGTGTTTTCCTCCTTCCACAGTTTAGTAGCTCTTCAATTTCATAATCTAATTTTGAGAAGGCTCAAGGATGAGGCTTTTTTTTAACTCCCCCATGTTGGTCAGCAGTCCATTGGAGCTAAGGACACTGGGGACAAAAAGCAGGAGGAAACCTTTGGCCCCTAGCTGATAAAATCTATTCTCACTTTCCTTCTGGCATCGCACTGGAACATAATAAAAGCATTCATGTTTTCAGCCAGTTTCATACTTTGCCCCCTTTCATCATTAGCACCATCTGCACTGAAGCATTTCCAACAAGTCAGGTATTGGTACTTTTGATTTCTTCCTATGTATCTTGCCTTTGGGGGGGACCCAAATGCAGAAGAACATTTCACACAGCTGTCTTCCGGTCAAGCAGATCATCACAGTGGTTTCAAGTAGGGCCAGCTTACTATCCTAATTTGCCCTGTGGATTTCTTAGATTTGTAGAAGTTTTGTCCCACACTAGCACACCAAGGGAGTCAATCTAGTCCATTGCCAGAGATTTTCAGGTTCCTGCCAGGTTTCCCCACGTCATAGCAGTCTCCGAGCTCACAGAAGTTGTACATCATCTTAGATGGCATTCCATGACTGCCTTTTCACCTCCATCTTGAGATGGATGATGGATTGGGCTTTGAGGGGTTATCATCATCAGAGCTTCATTAGCCTTTAGAGTGCTAATGCTTGTACTCTCTACCTGCCAGTATTATTATGAGACTCAAGTGGGCTAGAATACATAAGGTACTTGGAAATAATGCATAGATTACTGGATGTTTCAGTTATTGTTAACACCCTCTTCTGCACTGAGATGAGCACAAGAGGGGCTGAAAGACCCTGAGTCTAGAGAAAGCAGCCCAAAGTGGGGAGCCTTGGAGAAACATCCTTGGAGCGGGATGCTGAACCAGACAGGGAGATCCTAACCTGGATTTAGGCTAGGGCAAGGCCAAGAGAGCAGGACCTGACCATGGCCGGCTGGCTCTTTGACCCCAACTCCCACCCTGATGATTTAGTTCAGTGGGGTCCATCCCAACTTTCCAGGCTGAAGAATACTTTTTCCAACACGGGTTCTGGGCCATCTCTGTGGCACCGGATCCCCAGGCTCTTCCTGGACCATAGAGTAAACAACACAAAGGGAGGAACTCGAGTCACCGGCAGTCATTTCTTCCTCACTAAAGCTGGGGTGCACCTGAGCCCTGCCAAGATTTAGTTCACATTTACCATCCCCCCCCCGGGAAGACCTGCAACTGCCAGGGAGACACTAGCAAACGTCCCTTCAGACTCAGATTGTGATGATGGGATTGGCGGCAGTGACAGCTAGGGGCTAGTGTTCTCTTCCCTTCACCACAAACTCTCCTCATACCCCTTAAATCCTAGCATAGGACCCCTTACTATAATGAATGCTAGAACACATGCAGTTCTGAGGTAGGGCTAGGGATTCAGCCCCGCCCTGGCTCCGTCCCCGAGGCGTAACAGGGGCAGGGAGAGGGGAAAAGTTTTTCCCCAGGACATCTGTATTGCTCATAACCTGGGGTGAGTCACAGGAGCGATTTTCAGAAGTCAGTGAAGTTGTGTGTGCTTGGTGCTAATCCCACCCACCTTCCCCTTTCAGAATCTCCTCCCTTGACTTCTGGACCTGCCTATGAAACTCAGAAGAATGAAGTCGTGAATGCCGGGTTTCAGTTCTGGTGGCAGAGAAGAGAGAGGGAGAATTGGAGGGCACAGCAGGGTCAGCCTTCCCACAACCATCACATCCCACCCCAGCCTAGAAAGATGCCAGCGAGGGGGGAAAGAGTAGACAGAGGAAATATTTAACTGTGAGCTTCTACTGTTTTGTTTTGTTTTTTAAATATTAGTGATACCTTTTGTTTTTATATGTTTCACTTCCAAATGTATCCTTCTTTCATCCTTGGCCAGAGAGCCATCCCTTATAACTGTAGCAGTCTGACAAATCTGGAGTACCCCTGCATGGCTCCCACTCACCCAAACAAAAAGGAAGGAAGGGAGGGAGGGAGGGAGGAAGGAAGGAAGGAAGGAAGGAAGGAAGGAAGGAAGGAAGGAAGGAAGGAAGGAAGGAAGGAAGGAAGGAAGGAAGGAAGGAAGGAAAGAAGAGGAAGGAGAAGAAAGGAAGAAGGAAAGGAAGGAAAAAAGAGAGAGGAAGGGAGAGAGGAAGTAAGTTCAGCAAACAACACCTCAGCTAAGTCTGCCTGTACATGCAATGTCACTCACCAATAGTCCCCTACCCCTGCCTATTATGTGTTACTAATATTACTGACAGGTGGACAGAATAGTGGAATGAATACTACATTTAAGTCAGACAGTCTGAGTTTGAATTCTGGCCCTGCAACTTAGCTTTTCCATAAGTTGTACTGACATGTTTTGTTTTTACATTACAGACCTTTCCAGATTACCCACACATACCCCCATGAGAGTTCTTTTATAAAAAAAAAAAAAGTAAAATAATTCAACCAAACTAACAATACTGTGGCCTCATCTGAAAATGCTTGCAGCATTCCACACCTGTAGCCCCAACCTCTCTACGTTTGTGTCTTTTTTTTAACCCAGAGAAATCTATTTTCTCTCACTTGCATTCCCCACTCCAGTGGAACAAAAGAGAAAAGAAAAATAAACTCCTCGTAACAATTATAGCCAAGGAAAACAAATTCCCTCACTGGTTATGTGTAACATAAACATACATATGTGTGTATACATATATAACACACATAGATATGTGTATATACATACATATACATATGTAAATTTCTGCACCTGTCAGGAGATGGAAAGTATATTTCATCCTCAGTCCTCTGGAGTTGTAGATGGTCACTGTATTGAATAGAGTTCTTATAACGCTCAAAGTTGTTTATCTTTATGGTGTTTTATTGGAGTAATTATTCTGGTTCTTCTCATTTCATTCATCATTTTATAAAAGTCTTTAAAACTGTTCATTTCTATAATATTGATAATAACAGCTAATGTTTATATAGTGTTTGCACTGTGCTAGGCTTTTGTCAAATGTTATTTGATCCCCACAACAACCCTGTGAGGTAGGTGCCATTATTATCCCATTTTACACTTGAGGAAACTGAGGCAGATAGGGATTAAGTGACTTGCTCAGGGTCACACAGCTAGCAAGTGTCTGAGGTCATAGTTGACCCCCCCATCTAGGGCTCTGAGCACTCCAGCACCACCTAGTGGCCCATAGGCAGCCTACGGTCATATAGCAAGGGATCAGAGGCCTTGCCAAGCCCAACATGTCCTCTCTAACACCATATTGTCCTCATTCCCCCTCTCAAAAACTAGGTTTCCTCTTCTATAAAATAAGGGGATTGGACTAGATAACGTCTAATGTTTCTTCCAACTCTGACATTCTAGTATTTTTTTTTTAAGTTTCAGGCACTTGAGAAGGGGAAGATTGGTTTGCTGAGTGACCTTCTGACCCTCCCACCATCCTGCTCCACATGGCTTCTTTGGTCTCTGCAGGCCGGCACCTGAGAGCAGGAGCAGAAAGAAGAGATCTCCTCCTCCTTCTCCACTCCCC